CCCTTCCCTTCCCTTCCCTTCCCTTCCCTTCCCTTCCCTTCCCTTCCCTTCCCTTCCTTGGCACAGCATATTATCTGAGCACTTCCTTTCTTCCCTAGTCTCCATCTTCCTTGGCAGCGCATATGAGGTGGATCCTGTGGTTGTGTTTTGTTGACCTACTCTTAGATTTTACCACATTGTGGTGCACCCACCTAATTAATGATGTCAAAGAGTTGGGCATGAATTGTTTTATTGAATGGGTAAGACAAACTCAAGACTGATATAACTGGCAGCAAATATTAGCCATTATAACTCTGTGAAACCTCCAGATTTAGGACAAGTTTACCTTAAATATCATCGTTGAGATTGAACAGATGGAATCTGTAGAAAGTGGAGGTTGGACTAGACCAGTTGCTTCAACTTAGTGCCCTCTGCGTATGTTCAACTACAAATCCCATAATAGCACAGCCAGCATAGTTGCTGAAGCCCAAGGCACCTGAAAGACTTCATCCAGTGCTTTCAAGATCCGCCTAGAATTATTTAGTAAAGAGAGCTCTTGTGTCATGAAACATCCAACCTTTGAGATAAAGCATTCCATATATGAAATGTAAGTTAGATTTAAAAATATATGTATAATTAAAAATGCCCACTTTAAATTCCAGTGTCTTGTTTAAGTAGAGTTTTGCAGGGCTAAAACACAGGTGAAAAACGTTGTCCTAATGCTAACCCCTTCCGTTCCTTTTTTCAAAAATGTCATTTTGCTTGCAGAAACCTGTCCGTTGCCTTCGTTTCTCCTGCTTTCCAAAACACCCAGGCGTTCAGCCGTCCCTGAAAAAAATGTCATTGATCCAGTGCCTCTTCCCCACCCTACCCCCCGAGTCTTATTTTCAAATCATCTCCAAAAAGTGCAAAAAAAAAAAAAATCATCCAAGTGGGTTCATGGTTGGATCTCCAAGATGGACTTCATGGTCTGTCTAAATCTGCACAGGTGACAGGTTTGGGTTAGGCTAGTCCTCCTTGAGGGATCCCTTTGGCCAAGGATGGTGAGATGTTCAAAGGAGGGCCGTCTGTTCCAAAGGGAACATGGACTTTTTGGATTCAGGAAGCATTGATGGAGTCTCTCTCAAAGAGAGGCTGTTGTTTTCTCAGCCTCCTGTGATTACGCCAACATCTGTTCCAAATTGAGGGAACTTCCTGCTTAGGATGAAAGACCAGACGGAGGTTGCTGAGACTTTGGGTCCAGACTCTTACACTTCAACTCCCTTGGCCTTGTCTTGGACCTCCTGGGAGGGAAGCTGCCTCTCTTCGCTGTGACCTGGTGGGACCTTGAAGATTTTCTGGAACGCCAGAAATGAAAACCGTCAGGCTGAAGCAAAGCGGGGGTGGCAAATGCTGCTTGTTCTCTGGCTGTTTGATCAAGGCTGAGATGCTGCAGGCTTCCCACAAGCTGAACCAAGGTGCAAACGAGTCTTTAAAAGCTTCTTAACATGGTTGACTAGCCCATATTGCTGGATCCATCTCTGAGCCCCTTCCTGAAGGGGAACTAACTTTTAGGAAAGTTGTCTTCTACAATTCTCTGGTTCATTAAGGGGTAGAGTAGCTCAAGGTTCCTCAGGTCCTCATTGCAAAAGCTCGCTGCAGAAGATCAGGTTTTTTTTTGGGGGGGGGGGTCAGATAAGACCCAACTACCCACTTCTGCAACCCACTGCTCAGGTCTGTGCCAGAAAAGGTGGGTGTAGGTATGAAAGAGAGAAAAAAAGGGTGTCAGGGGATGAATGCAACCCCCAGCTACTTTTTTCACAGGATTTGAACTTCCAACCTTCTGTCTGCAAGTGATCACCCCCAAGGGAAGGAGAGACACAGAGTTAACTGTCATCTGCATGGTGGGGTCTGCTTCTGCTCAATACAAGGTAGTTGAGGTAGTCGCTGCTTTGATTTCCCTGGAGTAGTGTCACTCTAGGCATTCTGGGAAATAAAACCAGAAGGGTCTACAACCAAGTGCTGACTTGAATTTAATCATCTATCATCTATCTGTCTGTCTATCATCCATCCCCCTCTTCTATCTATCTGCTGTCTATCTGTCAATCATCCATCCATGTCTTCTATCCATCCATCCATCCATCCATCCATCTGTGTCTTCCATCTCTCTCTGTCTCCCCCTCCCTCTATTGAAACTCAGAGCCAAAGAAAAGGTTCAGTGATGGAAAATCTCCTTTATCTCCAGAAAGATGTGAGTTTGATCCCTGGAATCAAGAAAATCACCTTTGAAATGAAGCTCCTGGTTCTTTCTCAGAAGGCTTTGGGGCAATTTATGAACTTAAAATATTTGTCCTTTGGATTACATTGGCTGGGAAGTTACTAAAGTTTGATGTTTGGCAGAAGTTTATTATTTCTCCCTCTTCTCTGTTGCAAAAACATTTGCAAGTCGCTGTCTTTTCCCTTCATGCGCTCCTGCATCCCATAATAATGGCTGAAAAATCACAGTTGGGTGTCTGCTTGGTGGAAAAAAGAAACATCTCCTTTTTTCCCTTACCCTGATCCATGGCAGATGTTGACATTTCCCCTTGCAGTAGCTGTTGGGTAACTCCACGCTCTTCACCCGGCAGTCCGTTTGCGTCAACCCAGCCCCTCCTCCACAGACAAGGTTCATATGGGTGCAATTACGGCTTTTTAAAATCTTGTTTGAGTGGGTGTCCCAGAAGAACTGCCATTTTTCCATAAACGTTTAGACTCGTTAGCGCCTCGCCCCTCCAATGCCGTTAGCTAATTCTGCTCCGTTGGATGTCATGCGTGATGTTGTGCCTTGAACCATCAGCACTTCACGTTGGAGCCCTTCCTGCACATCTGAAAAAAATGGCTTTGAGGCTGGTCTTAAAAAGAAAGCCAGCGAAACCCCCAATTCAACTCCCCCTCTCCAGAAAACCAACCGATCTGTTTCCGATGAGTGTTCTTGAAACAGGCGCAGCTGGGCTTAACACTGGGGTGAATGATGGTTTCTTTTAAGCATGGTTTGTTAGACAAGCCTCCCTGGCCTTCATGTAGCCCATTAAGCCACGAATGGTGGTTTCCTAACAACAGTGCCTAAGTTTGCAGAACACACTCAACCTAAATTAAAAGCAAAGGGAATTTATGAGATGGCTGAAGGTAACTTGGGAGCTCAGTTATTAAGAAAACCGAACAGAAGTACCTTCCCATCTGTTGTGTTTGATTGTTCAATATTGCTAACCCTGGTTCCATTCATACAAACACAGTTCACCTGTTTATTGGCTTAATCTGTTTTGGTGCGGGTCGAATACGCTGAACCATAAATCAACCAGACAAGCTGAATTGACAAAACACATTTGGCCATAAAATTGCTTAGCATCAGCGCTGAACTGCAAACTACCTGACGACGTTTTAGCTTAGCTGAAGGATCGGCGTGAGGCGTAAAACCAGCCAGGAGCAAAGATGCAGCGGCGGGTATGAGCTGACTCATGAAAGCAACTGCTTCGCTCGAGGGACTTCTAAAGCAACGGCCCCTTTTTTCTTTCACGCAGAAGATTGTGAAGGACGTCTCCACTTGAAAGAGCAACAGAGAATCGATAGGCTTGCAGGACCTCCAACACATTTTCTCCAAATGGTTTTCGGCAGGTGAACAACCCTGGTGGTTACGAAATACTTCTTAAAAACTATTGTATGACGTCACGCTAGCAGAGAAACACATGGGGTGTGGGCATGTATGTAGCAACATTGGGGGTTAAATCAACCCATCATGCTGCCGTGGTCTCCATCTTGACTTTTTTGATCCGATGCCGGATGCCACCTTGAGTGTGTGTGTGTGTGTGTGAGTATCCTTGAGTTGTGAGGTTAAAGTCATAGAGTGCAGGGAGGGGAGAGTAAGCACACGACCTGTATTCAATTAACGTTGTTTAATTTAAAGACAAATTAAATGGGATTTTTGTCCTGGCCCAGCCCGTTTCTTTGCACAAGCACACGCCTTTGCCCCTCAAAAGCCACGTCAGCCCCGGGGATCCAGCAAACGGGCAGGATTCCCAGGAGGACTCCTCCCCCCCAAAAAACCCCAGTGCAAACATCCCCTTTCTATGCGACGGCTTTAGGAGGCTTTAATCTGTTCTGGCAGTGTTTCCCTTCTTCCCTGGCAGGGAATGGCTGCTTTTTTTGCACGGGATTCGTCTGTTTGTTGGTCTGGAGGAGAAGACGGGGCAAAGAAATAAACATTAGAGTTCAGATGGAAAAGATAACAGTGGGAAAAGTAGATTTGTGGCTTGTTTTTATAGCAAGGGCGTGAGCTCAGCGGCTGGAGGAACAGGGCAGAAAAGCAAAGGGGAAGCTGCCCGTAAAAATGGAAGTTTTTGTGTGAGAGAGAAACACGAGGACGTGGTGACAAAATTTGGGGAGGGTTTGCTGATCAAGGGTCCCAATTCTCTGTCTCCAATGGGTTGTGACGCCAGAGTTACTAAACATGCTTGCTGGGAATTCTGGGAGCTGACATTCAAGCTCTTGCCCTCCCAGAATTCTTTGGCAACTTGGTCACTGGGAATTCTGGGAGCTGACGTTCGAGCTCTTGCCCTCCCAGAATTCTTTGGCAACTTGGTCACTGGGAATTCTGGGAGCTGACGTTCGAGCTCTTGCCCTCCCAGAATTCTTTGGCAACTTGGTCACTGGGAATTCTGGGAGCTGACATTCGAGCTCTTGCCCTCCCAGAATTCTTTGGCAACTTGGTCACTGGGAATTCTGGGAGCTGACGTTCGAGCTCTTGACCTCCCAGAATTCTTTGGCATCT